ACAGGCATGTTTTTGTTTACTGTAGAGTTTTTCAAGCTTAGTATAATTTGTGCTTGCCCAGGCCATGTTACCATAGCTTAGGTGACTATGTATTAATGAAAAGTATAAACTTTTTAAGGAAATGATGTTTAGGAAAGGTCTTGCTTTATACATTAATGAAATATTTCTTGAGAGCTTTCTCTCTAAAGTGTCTATACGGAACTTCCACAAAAAATTTTCATCCAAGACCACACCTAAAAAGTTATGAAAGTTTCTCTTTTTTATATTAGTATTATTTATTTTTAGATCAGGTAGTTTAAGGGAAATATTTTCATTTTTATTTAATTTGTGAAATAGGATGAATTTGGTCTTTTTTACATTCAAAGAGAGCTTGTTACACCTGAACCACTCATTTATTTTATGTAATTCTTTGTTAACTATGTTAAAAAGTGTCTTAATGTCTCTATGTGAATAAAACAAATTGGAGTCATCCGCAAATAAGATTAAATTTAATAAGTTTGATGTTAAATATAAATCATTTATATAGAGTAAAAATAATAATGGTCCCAAGATCGAGCCTTGGGGAACCCCGCAAGTTATGGCGCTATTTGTTGTTTTTGTTGTTTCATACTGAATATATTGCTTTCTGTTTGATAAATAATCTTTAAACCAAAGTAAGTTATTATTTTTTACTCCATACACTTCGAGTTTTTTTGAAGAATATTGTGGTTTACGGTGTCAAAAGCTTTAGAAAGATCAATAAAAACTCCAAACGTAAAGCAATCATTACTAAAAGCATTAGATATTTGATTAACTAGCTCAATTATAGCATGGTCAATTGAGTGGTTTTTTTTTAATTCAAATTGTTTACCGTATAAAAAATTGTTTTCCGTCAAATAATTGTAAAGTCTATTATACATGACACGTTCTAGTAATTAAGAAAAACATGGTAAAACTGATATAGGTCTATAATTATTAGTATCAAAATCATCTCCAGATTTAAAAATAGTGGTGACTCGAGCAATTTTTAGTTTATCTGGGACAATGCCTGATTTCAGTGAAACATCAAAGATGTGATGCAATGATGGTTCAATGATATCAAATACTAATTTTACGACAAAGCTACTGATATTATCAAAGCCCGCACTTTTGTTATTTTTCAGAGTGTTTAAAGCGGATCGCAATTCATTAGAATCTAGATGTGTTTCTTTCATAATCTTTTCTGAAGTAAGGTTCTTAATCAAGTAAGAATGAAATGTTGCAGAACTCAACGGAATTTCAGCTGCTAATTTGTGACCTACATTAAGAAAAAAGCCATCTAGATAATCAGTTATTTTTGTCTTATCACTGACTAACTTACCATCAATCAAGATTTTTTTCGGCAGATTGCTTTTTGTACAGTTATTATTACCGATTATTTCCATGGTTTTTTTTAAAAAAATTTGAATAATAAAGCTTTTTTGAGTATTGTTTTGTTTTTTCAAACAAGTTTTTATAAATTTTGTAAGTTATTTCATTTTTATAAGTTTAATTTTTCAAGAATTTGTCGTTGATTTTTTGTTTTAAAAAAATAATTTAAAAAAGTTCTAATTCATCAATTTACTAGTAGTAGAAGTTTTAGATGGGACTAAATATTACATAGAAAAAAAAAAAAAAATTTTCCACAATGTCATGCTATAAATACATATATATCCCATTATTATAGAAAAACTGTGATAAAAGAAAAATTAAGTAATCTGCTATTGTTTTAAAAAGTAATATGTTCTAAACTTACGTGCAGATTCAATAAAAGATTACATTAAAATGGTTAAAAGTAATGTGGGAAAACAGTGTAGAATTATTTAAAGAAAACTTAAAAGCCTTTTCTCTGTTGGTTGTTGTCGGTTGAAGTTTAAGTTTATTATGAAAGGATTACTTATAAGTGAATAAATAACTTATATACTCACTTATAAGAAATCCTTTTATAATAATCTTAATATAATATAAGATTTAACTTACATAAAAGAAAAACAAAATAAAATAGAAACTTGAACTTTTCATGCATTTTCGCTTTAGGGAATTTTTTTGTCTTCAAAATATAATTATGTTAATTTATTTTAGGAATATTACAGCAATTAATTGTAATTAATGCTGTAATATTCCTAAAACTTAACAGAGTATTATTGCATTATTATATCAATATTACATTGGTTATCTGGTTTTATATATATATATATATATATATATATATATATATATATATATATATATATATATATATATATATATATATATATATATATATACTTCATAATTTCATTAGATTAATTCATTAATTATACATTTAACAAACATAAATACTAAACTAAAACAACAAATATAACAATTAAACATAACGAAATTCAAGTTTGTTTCGTATCCCCTCGCACCATCCACTACGGAAATCAGAAAAACAGAAATAAGATACGAAAACTGCACACTTTTTTGGGCTGTCTGCTCAATAATAACTTTTGATGAAAATTAGTATAGAAAATATAAGTAAAATCTGAGTAGGTTTGAAATTCCTTTGACAATAATGTAATATGTGAACAACAACTAAGTTTTTAATATAAACAAAGTCAATAAAAAAATTAACAACATAAAAGTTACATAAAAATCAAGTTTAACTATTCTATTTTTCAAAAATTATCTTAAAAAAATTAATAGTTTAGCTATGCTATGAAAACTGCACAAGTACATAATTTAAAATCTGACGCCACGTTGGAAAGCGATAGTTATATCTGGAAAGCAACCGCGAATAACCTACCGCAAATAGCCTTTGACTACTAAAATGGCTGATTCTAATAAAACCTAAGAAAAAAAAAGAAAAAATAAGTTTTAATTTTTTTAGTATTAAACATACTTAGCACTTAGTTCTGATTTTTCTGACACCTTAAATTGTGTTTACTGATGCATTTGAATAATTAAATGCAAAAAAATCAAAAGTGGGAAGAAATTCAACCTGGCGGTCAATTGCGGATTTACAATGGTATATCCGCAACTAGTATTTGTTTTTCAAGTGTCACTATATGACCCGCTCTATCTAAATGAAATTTTTAAAAGTACTAATCCTCAGCTAGACATCAATAGTTATATCTATAGTAACATGCATTTCATGTCTATTTTTAAATTGAAAACATTTTGATTGTACGGTATTGTTGTTGTTATTTGTAAAGTATGACGATGGAGATTTCATTCGAGTAAACTTTTTGGAGTAATCTAAACTTCCATAAATCAATGTCAAACTTAGTTGGCTTAAACAAACTTGACTATGTTTGTTTTAAAATTGAGTTTAAAGGCTTACATAATATCTGGTAATTCTTATTGATGTTTGATTTCTCGGCAACACCAACATTTACAACAATCGGCATCAAATCTTTATTTTATAAATAAATAATTTTTTCAATTAAATCAAGAGTTTGATAAAAGTAACTTTGATTTAAACCTTAGCAACGAATCGCTTTAAAAGTTTTTTTAAATAGTGTATGAGTTAAATGCATTTTACTATTTTTATAAGAATATTTTTAATCAAGTTAAACGCTTAACATTTAGCCTTTCAGATTTTCATAACTGGACAGACAATATTTTGCCTGACTGATGATGAAAAACAATATTTGTTTATAGGCTAAAAATTTTAATAGAACAACAACAGCAAAAAAAGATATTACGTAGTTGCTTTTATAAAAAAATTGTTTTTAAAGAATAATGATATTTTCAAACAATATTCCACACTTTGTTTTCCGCCGTTCGTTCACTTCTTTGAAGTTTTTCGGCATATTATTTTATAACTTCAGACAAATATCACCTAACAGCTTAAAAGTTTAATAAAAAAACTATGAGTGGAGAATTAATTATATTCATGTTTGCCTATTTATAATCATTTAAAAATCTATTTGAAACTAAATTAGATGTTTTGGATACCTCAAAATCAGCCAAAACATTGTGATATTGATAAATAAAATATAATTATTTTTATTTCTTCAATAATACTTTTTACTTTAATAATGCTTTTGTCAATAAGTATTTTGAAAAAAAAAGATGAGTAATAATCAACTAACAAAAAGCGCCTAGCTAGATGGACGCTCTTCAGAACAAATCTACTTGAAGCACGATATTAAACAATACATACTTGTAACTACGAGTAACCTGATCTTACTAAAATATCCGAGAAAACATTAAATTATTTTAGCTTAACTCTTCATAACAGTGAAATATTCCGGGATTTTTTTTTTTTAATTATGTAAAAAATTCAAATTGTTTATAATTTTCAAAATAGCTTTATCTAATTCATTCAAACCACTTAAATATTTATTCATTTTCTACTTTGTGAGGCTTGTTTCGGATGTTGCGCAACACTTTTTTAAAGTAAAATCGATTAAAAAGTTTTTTATTTCAAGCGCGCGAAGAAAATACTATAGTTCCTTTTTGAAATGAAACTTTTATTCATCTTTATAAAACAATCGAAACAATACTTTATGCAAACTTTAATAAACAAATAGATGTAATATTAATCTATAAATATTTATAATATGAATTATTTATTAAATAACGAAATATTTATAAATTTTTATATTTTAATCTAGGCGTTTACAAGGAATCTTTTTTTTTTAGATCGTTATTTTTTAATAACGAACCCAAAATGCTTTTGTTTCGTTTTGAATTAAAAATAGTTTTAGCGTGAATGAATTAAAAATAGTTTTAGCGTGAATGAACATGTGTTAATAACAACTATTTGTTTTAACGCAAATTGTAAATAAACGCTAAGCAGAATAAAGCATTTTTAACGTGCTTTTTGTTATCAGAACGTCTAATATTGCGTCTATATTTTAAATTAGTCCACTTTGTGTTAAAAACAAACAATATAAAAGAAATATACATTTTTGTTATTTCGAATATAAATACTTTAACAGGTGTCAATATTTCATTTCCTAATTCAAACTGTAAAAAACGTGCTTCTTAGCCCGCTAAGCGACTTTTCTCTTTATAACATAAAAAAGCCAGAGTAAATAGAGCTTTTTTTATTTATACCATGAAAGATTTACAATAATTTTAAGTATAGTATAATATAGGAATCTTCATTATTCGGCAGTCTTTTCTGCAGTAATTTCTAAACACAAGATAATATTTTCGATACAAAATATTTTAGAAAATAATAACGTAACTCTAAATTTAAAATATCAAGGAAATTACCATCTTTTGTTGGCAACGGATTTTTTTCAACTGTTTCTGTTTTTTTCAGTTTACTTTTATCAAATGTTTCTACTTCTGCTACGCTTGGTTTATCTTCCATTTTTGTTATTGAAAGCTCTAAACTAAAAAACCAATTTTTTATATAATTTAATTTACATTTATATAAAACTATTTACACGCCTAAAACGTCAGAAGACAATATACAGTCATTTTAGGTAAACAAAACACAAAATGAAGCTAATTAAGTTTTTGCGGTTTGGGGATATTATTATACTTAAATATATCACTTAGTAAATGCATGATAATTAGTTGTTAATTGTAATCACATCAAATTACTCTTTTTTAAATTAATTTATTTTTAAATATTCAAAAACTTGAACGAAGTTAATGTAACTATTAAAACCACAGTAAAAGTTTAATATCAGATAAGCAATGTTTAAAAAAACTAACCTTATACTGACTCGTGATCACAAATAGCGTCGGTAGCTGATATCGATAAAACTCTAAGTAGGGTGGCAAGCAGTTTTATAACTCACAAATGAATTAACATTGTTTTCACGCACGGTTTGAGATGTTTGAGAAGAATATAAGCTTTGATCAGTTGATAAAACAAATTGACACACCTTCTATAAAGTTTTTCAAATATCCACATGATACATGTATAGCATTGTGTGACCACGGTTTTGATAAAAATTAACTTCTTATAAAGGATACTTTTCTGACCACCCTTTTGATTATGAGACAATAAACAAACCAGAATTGTTGTTTTGTTATAACTAAAAATGAAATTTGAGATCAGAAATGTCTGTTTTTTAAATATTTTTGATCATAAAGTTTTAAATTTAGTCGGTTACATTTAAAATTTATTTATTTTGTAAAACCCAGTACTAAAAAAATATTGATACCTATAATTCAAATGAAAGATCACATTGTTATATTGAAATTAAGCTATTTACAAAATAACTTAGTTATCTCTTATTTTTATTAACTTTTTTAATTAACAATATTGACGCATGTAAACATTCTCTCCTCCCCTAAACTATGCATTAAAAAATAGTAAACTGAAAGTAGTCGAATAACGGACGCATCAAACGCCTTATAAAAACGTATCAAAATGGCGGAAGAAAACAAATGGACTAAGGAAAAAATAAAATCTAAAATAATTGATAACGAGCTAGATTTAAGTCTTTGCAGTATTACCAGAATTCCTGTTAAGCATTTGGTAAAAATTTAAGATGTTAAGTAAATAAATACACGAGCTTGCAAAAATTTGTTTAACAACAACAAGATGTTTGTTTTCCTTTAAAAATCATTACAACAACGGATTTAAACCAATAATAGTAATAATAATAATAATAATAATAATAATAATAATAATAATAATAATAATAATAATAATAATAATAATAATAATAATAATAATAATAATAAGAATAATTATAATAATAGCTATAATAACAATAATAATAATAGTAGTAGGATAATAAGATTGACAGTAAACTAAGTTAAAATTAGTTGACAGTAACATAATAAAAAGTTAAAATAATGAAATGTATTATCATATTATGTTATAAAAGTTAATAAAATACTTATAAACATAATAATACTTAATAATGATGATTGGTTAAGATAATGTTGTTCAAATAGAACTCTGAAAAAAAAGTCAAAGCAATTGTTAAATTTAATGTAAATAATAATATTAAAAATAGAAATGAAGCATACACAATGTAATCATCAAAAGTCAGATTTTTCAGGTATTAATAAAAAAGAGAAAAAACAACAACCAAAAAGCAACAATAATTGTTATTATTGCAGTAATAGTTATTACTACGATTATAACAATATTTGCAGTAGTAGTTGTTATTACTGCAATTATAACAATTTTTGTAGTAATAACACATTGTATAAAATTTAAAAAAAATAATGTTAAGTCTTCTTTACATATTTTAATTTTTGTAATTATACATTTTCCATAGAGTTTTTGCACTACAATGTAAATACTGTGCATTCTCTTGTTCATAACAAGGAAATCTTCAAGTTATTCAACTACAAAATAATGCAATTAGAGCTATCCTCAAATATGATTGCATTGCACATGGTATTGATAGCATAATGAATTGAATTACTTATCAATTAAACAAGGTGTTATAATAAAAGTTCTTACATTTATTTATAATAATATTTACTTAAAAAAAAATAGTTATGCTTTAATATAAGTGGTGTTTTATGTATTATATTATATAGTCATCACCACAATATCAAGTGACTGTCGTATTTGGCAACAATAAATAATAACTTTTAAGAATACCATTTAAAAAAGAGTAACTAAAGTAAAGTAATAAAGTATTTTACAAAACCAAAATAGTTCTATAGTTAGTGCATAAAAATGAGTCATTTTTAAATATTAGAATAAAACAAGATTTTAAAATGCAATATTGCAGAGATTTTAATGGTTAATCATAATTTTCTTTTAATAAAAGAGCTTATATATATTACATATATTCTTTCTGATCTAAAAAATCATTTCAGATGATTAAAAACTTTAAATATTTTTTTAGTTGATCAGTTTGCAAAAATTTTATAATTTATAATTGATTTTAGATATCATTTACAAAAGTGACAGTGTTAGATTTATCTTGCAATAAAATTAACATCATTCCTGTAAGTTCAATTATTCTTTGATATTCTTCTGGTAAATACAAATGATTATGTGATGACGATTTGACTGTTCTTTGTTACAATTAGGCAAGGTTTTCTGTTTTCTCATATTACATAATAGCTTCATATTTGTCAGAGTATGCTATAAATAAACAATAATATAAATAAACACTTTATTTTATCAGGATAATTTTACAAGTCTTACACATTTGGTTCAACTTGATCTTAGTAAAAATAGCTTATCAGAACTTCCAGAAGATTTCGGAAAACTTTTTAAACTAAAAAAACTTGATCTACTTAATAATAACATATCAAATTTACCACTAAGTTTTGGAAAGTTAAAAAATTTAGTGTGGCTTGATTTAAAAGGGAATCCTATTCAAGAATTTCTTCCTGAAGTTGTTGGTGATTGTTTGAAACCAGTGGAATGTCAAACTTGTGCTAAAAGTGTAAGTTTGTTTTATATAAAAGTTTTACAATATTTAATATTTTAATACATACCATATATATATATATATATATATATATATATATATATATATATATATATATATATATATATATATATATATATATATATATATATATATATATATATATATATATATATATATATGAAACACTGGAAATTAGGAAAAATGAAGTTGGCTTCAGGTAGGCAAAAATTATTTGATACAAAGGTCTGACCATAAAACATAGAAACTATTTTGCCGACGTCAAACACTTTCAGGTCAGCAGTTAGGTTGGCTGACCCTAATTCCGAGGGTTGTATATGTATATGTATATGTATATATATATATATATATATATATATATATATATATATATATATATATATATATATATATATATATAACATGAATTTTAAATTGAAAAAATATCTTTTTAAGATGTACATGCAGTGTTAATGCAGTCCCAGTCCCTAACCCCGCCACGGCTATATTTTATCAAATTCTGATCAAATTTTAACTCTAGTCGCTTACTATCTCTGTGTGTGTGTGTTTGTCCTTTCCACATATATTTTATACACTTGTGTGTAAAACATAAATTCTTACACACTATAAAATATATAATAATACTATCAAACATTTAACAAATATTTATTATTTAAATTTTGAACAAATTTGAAAATGAAACAAAAAAATCATTTGTTTAACAATATATATTTTGTACATATATTATTTTGTGCATATATCACACAACTACTATTAAGTTAGGAGTTACTAGAAAACAAAGAATAGAGTTAAAAAGCAAGGAAGCAATTGACAGAAGACTTCAAAAATTGTAGGTTGTATGAGTCAGGATAAAGATGGGAGAGAGTTCCAAAGGGTTGAAGTGCGGGGGAAAAAACTAGGCAAGTAAAAGTTTTTAGAGCATGCAGCTAGAGATACAGTAAAAGGATGATATATAATGATCATTAAATGTTACAACTTTTGTAACTAGACAAGTAGTGGCGGCCTGTGGCAACAAACTTTGGTAAGGGCAGGAAAAATTAACCAAAAAATATTGCAAAAACTCAATGTCTGCCTAATTGATGCTTTGGTCTTTGTTAGTAAGTCTTTGGTTGCTGGTATTTTTTGATTAGTTGAGAGTTAAACGCTAGCATACTCCCAAAATAAAGCATAAGTACTTAATGGTATTGAATCTTTTATACCTTTATAAAAACCAGTAAAAACTGACTGAAACCTGCCCTGATAGTCCTGTATTATGATTTGAACAAATTTTAGTATTACTTCTTTAGATTTATATGTGTAGTTTAATATACAAAATGGAAACATAGTAAAACTTTGATTTTAATTTTCTTTTAAAATTCAAATAAGAAAGATTTAAGAACGATTATAAATTCGAATCGTCAGCGATTTAAGCTGGTTTAAGCATTTAAGCATATTATTTATACAAATATTCTGCTTTTCTATGTTTCATAAGAGAAAACATTTCAATTATTTTTTTATTAAACTGATGAATATCATGTAAATAATCTTTATGTACAGCTAATCGATCTTGATCTGTAGAATTTCTTGTTTTAAAGTACAAAAACACCAGTTAGCATCAGATGTAGACACAGGTGTGACCAAATCAATCTTTATTAACTTAGTTACTTAAGAAAATAACATTTTCATGCATAAATTGGGATAAGGCATTAATGCTGCTGATATCATTAAAAACAGTTTCTTTGGACATCAATTTAACTTCACTTAACATTGGATAGTTTTTAAGATATTTTTTTTATGTAATTTATTATTTTTGAATAAAAATTCCATTGTTTTGATGAGGATTTAAAGAAAACACCAAATCCACTTGAAGTTGAAAAAGATATTCTTATTTTCTTATTTGAAGAACAAACTTTTTTCAAAACTTAATTCAATTGATGTGCATAGCAGTAAACATAATGGGCATTTGGGTAAACTTCTTTTATTAAACTTTGTAATACATTCCTTGATCCTTTCATAACTGCTGCACCATCATAAGCCTGTGCAATTAATTTTTCTTTGAGACCAAAACAGTTTAATTCTTCTTTTAATACATTCGTAAGACCCATAACACTTCTATCATGAACATCAATAAATGCTATAAATCTTTCTGGAACTGGGAGTGAAACAAATCTTGCAAGGAAACACATCTTGCTTTATTAATTTCACGTTTAATTTCTTCTATGTATACTTTATACATACAGTCTAAAATATCATTTTGGTTTGTTTTTGAAGTATTTTTTGTTATTTTTGAATTTTTAAGATAGTTGCTAAACACACTATTGTTAGCTAATTCGTTATGTTTTTTTATGTTAAATCTGTATCCAGCATCAATTGTTGATATAATGTTTTTCTGAGCATTTAAAACTGCAACGAATTACTTATATGTGTTTTACTAGATTTGTGTTTTTGTATTCCCTCAGTAAGATGTTTCATATCTTTACAGCTATATTCTGTCCACAAACTCTTGCCACCAAACAAAACACAATAAAAACAAAACAACACATTTTTTTCATCACTTACACCTTTTTTTTACACCTTTGTTTTAAACAGATCACAAACCTCTAAGACATGTTGTGTTCATATTAAAGAGATTGATTTAAAAAAAAAGTTTGAGCTAAATATTTTTTGATTAAAACAAAAGAATAAAAATCAACTTTTTTATTTTAGTCAAAGTTTGCCTTTTCCATTTTGTTGTAGGCCAAAACGTCAGCATAATATACATCTCAATCTACACTGTAGATTGCTTAAATAAATTGTCAAGTTTTTACATACTACCAATTTATTCATTTATTTAACCATGTTTTATTCCTATGAGTTTCATTAGATGGCATCATTAATTTTTTTGTTTGTGTAAAAGATTGAATATGTAAACAAACAAAAAAAATGACATCATGTACTAAAACTTTTAGGAATAAAACGCGCTTGAATAAATTATGCTGACTTTTTGGCCTACAACAAAACAGAGAAGATGAGCTTTGACTAAAATAAAAAAGTTTTTATTGATATGCATTTATTCTTTTGTTTTAGTTTTAAAAATTTAGCCCAAACATTTTTTTTTTATCATTCTTTTTAATATGAAAACAAAATGTGTGTGAAAAATCTCAATACTCTGATTTTTCTATTTCTATGGCAACGGTAAATGTCCAACATAGTGAAATATTCTAAACTTTGTATATTTTTTAGTTAGTATCTTTTTGGAGGTATAGATCATAATTGATACTTCCAAAAAGTTAAAAAAAATAATTCAGCTTCAATAATTATTGAAGCTGTATTATGAAATTCAACTGTCCCACCTGTGGTACAGTTTTTGCGATTCAAAATAAATTTTTTTATATCTTCTGTTGTTTTAAATTTTTTTTACCTTTGTTGTATCAAACTAATTCTAATCTTTACTTAAAAATCCAGTTGCACTTAAAATTAATTTTTTTACATTAAAACTTGTGTTAGATGCTTATCATCATGGTTGAAATAGCCTCTGGTTCAGCATTGATCTAATTAGCAACTAAACCTATCTGCCACCAAATGATGTAAACAATTTTCAATGGCTAGTTCATTATGTCACAGAATATAATATATAAGCTTATTAGAAAAAACATACTTCAGCAATCCCTCAAGATATTTGAAATTCAACAAGAATTTTAAAAGTACAATCAGTTTTTAGCTCTTATTATATTGATAAAATGACTAAGCTTTCTCTTGTCACAATATATAAACTTGGTAAACATTGTCATACACTTACTTATATTTGATTAATATCATCTATTATTAATAGTGGCTCAGCTAATAATAATAGATCATTGTTAATATAGCTGAGCCACTATTTTTTCCATGTAAAAAAGAAAAAGTGTTAAAATTTAAAAACAAACAATATATACTAGAAAAATATAGTTCACTAACAAAAATTATAAAATGTACAAGATTGTTGATTGTAAAATAAATGTGAAACTTTTCATGGTATTTTAAAATCAGTTTTCTAAACTCTTCAATTTCTTTAGAATTTCTAAACTTAAAGTTTTATTATAACTTTTATCATTATTATTCCTGTTTAATTGTCAATGATGGTTACCAAGATTTATTCTATCTGTTTATTCTATTTTTATCTAAAATAGAAACAGATTTATTATCTAAAATAGAATAAAATCAAAATATTACATCAATCAAAACAAAAGTTATTATTTTGCTGAAAATTTTTTAGTATGCAAGTTAAACCACATTATTAAACTGCGGTTAATTTATTCTTTAATTTTACTTTACAGTTATCACTATTATTATCTATTTCTATAATTTTTTTTTATAATTTTGAAAAAATATTTTAAACCTACATTACTTATTTTAAATCCAATTCAAATTTTAGATTATAACTTTAATATTGCTAATCTAATTTTTTTGAAAAAAAAAAATATATATATATACGTATATATGTGTTTATGTAACAAAAAATGCAATGACATCGCAAATGGCAGAAGCATTTAACTAACGGTGAAAAGGAAAAAAAGAGTAAAGGAAAAGTGAAGGAAATTTTTAAATAATAAATAAGATTAGTTAGAAATAAAGTAAAAAAAGAAAATAATTGAAGGGTATAAACGAACTAAAAGATTGAAAAAAAAAAATAAAACAAGAAAATAAATAAAAGAAAAAGAAGAACAAACAAAAACAAACATAAAAAACAAAAAAAACAAAAAAAAAAATCAAACAAAAACTAACAAAAAAAATCAATTAACAGCATACTACCAATTTAAAAGAAAAAAGTTCGAAAAATGTTTGAAATAATAATTAAAAGAACTAATTAAAGCGTAAAAAATCACAACCAATTTTTCTACACTTTTTTTTTTGTGGCAAATATGTGATAATTGTGAAATATATGATATTTCGGAAAAAACACAAAAAACAAACAGTTCTATTTGTGTTAATAAGTAAATTATAAATATTGAATATTTCATATCAGGGAGGTAATCCACTGTTATTCAGGGTGGTAGCCCTCCCACCATCAAGCATCATACTATGTCTTCAAAAATTATTGATGCAACAGATATCAGTTTTTCTTTGAAGTATGACTTTACTGGATTTGAACAAGGAAACACCAACTTAACTAAGCTGGACAAAGCAGTTTTTGCATCATTTCAAGATATGCAATTGGTAATAAAATTATTAAGTGAGAAAGTTATTGCACAAGAAAATAAATACAATAAATGAACTGAAAGTTCAAGTAGAAAAAAAACAGAACAAATTGGAATCTAAAACTCTCAGTGATGCTCTTATTGGTAAGTCTACTGAAAGCAAACAACAACGTCAGCAGATATGTTCACTAATTTTAACTGTAAATAAACATACCCAAATTAAAGAATTAAATGTCATTGTTATTGGAATCTTAGAAAATAACGCAGTTTAGGATAGTAAACAAGTGATGGATTTTTTTGGAGCCGTTGGACTAGAAAATATTGAAATTAAGCATATTCGAAGACTAAAATCAAGCAAACTAAAAGCAAGGTCAAATAACTCTAACTCTAACATCATCCAAGTATCTCTCTCAAATAAAATAGAGAAAGAGTTAGTTCTAAACACCTGCAGACATCATACCATTAAGCAATATGAAAAAGTTTTTGTTCACGAAGATAGAACTCCTGCTGAGCAGGCCGATTTTAATGCCAAGCAATCACAAATAGTCAAACAAAATCAAGAACTTAAAGCTGCAGGGCTGCTAGATCAGCCATTTTGGAATGTCATCTATCGCCGCACCGGTAAAATAGTCTGCATCGACGTTATTGAATCAACCAGAAGTAAACAGTATGTTTTTAAATCACCAACAATCGCACTCAAAAGCCAACGTAGTAACATCAATAGTAGCAATATTGAAGGAAACAGTACATCAGCTACCATCACAATTTGGGTGTACAAAAACAGGTCAATCACACTGTGTTATTGCTGGTATATTGGCTGTTCATTTAAAAGAAACAGCACCAAAACTCTCACGTCCTCGTCTTATCTGGAATCAAGCCAACTATGATGCAATATCAACAAAAATAGCTTCAAACAACTGGCATACCATGTTTGAAGGTCATACTGCTACTTGTTAATATATACAAAAAATACATTAAAGAACACATTCCATCAATTTTAGTTCCACCTAAAATAAAAAATACACCGTGGGTTACATCAGAGGTAAAAGCAGCAGTAAAAGAAAAACATACGTTATTTCTCAAAATACATTGTTGCAGGCTGCCATACTCATGAAAATTTACGAAATGCACATAAAGTTGCATGCAAAAATGTTATAAAGGTTGTTAAAGACGCCATACTTTCATATGAAGATGATTTAGTTTATGCTTCTAAGTCTAAAATGCCTTCATTTACATTTTTGCAGCAAACAACAAGTAGCCTACAAACAATGAACAACTCAACCACTACAAAAAAACTCGAAATTTGCGCATTACTAAATAATTATTTCCAGACAGTGTTTGCAGTTGAACAAGAAGGTTCTATGCCATATTTTAATCCACACACACAAACCATATGTCAGTTTGATAAAGATAGCATTCATGAGAATGAAGTAGAAAAAAAACTAAAAGGGTTATCTGAAAATAAGGCCATGGTTATGATGAAATACATCCACGCGTTCTTAAAAAGTGTGCAACATCTTTTGAAATCCTAATCACAATAATCTACAAGAAATCTATATTCACTG